TAAAGCTAAAGCGACAAAAATCAGTTGAACAGACTTACTCCCATCTTCAGTTTTCAAGCACACCCATCTCTTTTCAGTTCAGAATTCAAAACAATAAATAAATAAAATCATTAGAGCAACTAGCTTTTCCCACTACCATGAAAGTCCACTGAAACCTAATTTTCCTTTTAGTTTTTATCTGTGAACACTAAACTTTCCAGAGGGGTGATAATGCTGGCCCACTTATATCAGAGCATCAATGAAAAAAAATTTCTCTTTAAAACAAAGGGTCTGAGTGACTCTAAATCACACTTTACACACAAAGAACCAAGAAATAACAGGTGTCTGGCTTTTGATCTAGTGCCTACAAAGAATCCTAAAAAGGTATATATGGGCAACTAAGGTAGATAGCAACATAATATACTCATCTAATTACTACCCAAGTTCCCTCATTTCATCAAGGTCACTCAAGTTCACCATTCATGACGTATTAAATGTCACCCACGCTAACTGCCTCATGGGATTTTTTTTTTTAATTTTAACGGATGGTTATTGTCAAGTACCAAGGCCTGGCTCTAAAAAGCGAAGTCTGACGCAGGGAAGGAGTCAGTTCCTTCCTTGTCCCAGGGTCCATTCCCCGGAAGGATCACCACGTGCCCCACCTGGGCATCCTCAAGGTCACCAACAAGGCAGCACGCTGTTCCACAGCATCACATCACGAGCAATACGTGCCTCGGGGCCAACCACGGTTCTCTTCACTACGGCCAAGGTCAACTTCCTCTATTCAGCTTCCTCCGTTCAAACTTTAGTCTTTGGGCACCCACGGAACCACATGCCTACACGAAGTGGAACCTGCTTTGAGGATGCGCACGCCAAGAGCCACCCTTACTTTATACCAACTCTGTCAAAACAATGATGCTGGGCTTCCCTGGTGGCGCAGTGGTTGCGAGTCCGCCTGCCGATGCAGGGGACACGCCTGCCGATGCCCCGGTCCGGGAAGATCCCACATGCCGCGGAGCGGCTGTGCCCGTGAGCCATGGCCACTGAGCCTGCGCATCCGGAGCCTGTGCTCCGCAACGGGAGAGGCCACAACAGTGAGAGGCCCGCGTACCGCAAAAAAAAAAAACAAAACAATGATGCCTATGAGGCATATTTCACCCAAGTATCAGCACCCCACAACAAGCTATGCTAAAGAAATCCTCACTGAATTAGTCAACCTTCTTCAATCCAATGCTGCTGGTGTGCTAGGAGCCTCCAAGTATGAATGAATCACATTTAGTCAAAGCAGGAACCAGACGCACCAATTATGAATGAACGGACTCCTGCAGAGGATGGTGGCTCTTCAGTCAACTAAGGATGACCACCAAGTCCTGGCAAACGAAGTGAACTAACAAGCACTTTTTTGACCAGTCTCAGCCACAAAGCTTATGGGTCCATGCACCAGAAAATAAGGTGTAGCAGAAAGACCACAGCTTAGAGTCACAGGATCTGGGTTTTAGTTCCAGTGCTGCGTTTTCCTTTTCTTAAGTACCTGAAGAGCAAGACCTCCCTTTCTGAAAGAAATAAATGTCATTTGCAGCAACATGGATGGACCTAGAGATCATCATATTAAGTGAAAAGTCAGACAGAGAAAGACGCATATCACAGGATATCACCTACGTGTGCAATCTAAAATATGACACAGGTAAACTTATCTACAAAACAGAAACAGAATCACAGACATAGAGAACAGACCTGTGGCTGCCAAGAGGGAGGGGAGGACGGGAGGGATGGAATGGGAGTTTGGGATTAGCAGATGCAAACTATTATATATAGGACGGATAAACCACAAGGTCCTACTGTATAGCACAGGGAACTCTCTTCAATATCCTTGATAAACCATAATGGAAGACAATATGAACAAGAATGTATATATATGTATAACTGAATCACTTTTCTGTACAGCAGCAATTAACACAACATTGTAAATCAATTATACTTGAATAAATTTTTTATAAAAAGACCTCCCTTTCATCTATGTATCCTCAGTATCTAACAGTGCCCAGCATAAGATGGGGCCCCAATGAGTGTCTGTTCAATGAAAGAACAAGAGAACATATCTTCTTTGTGTGATCTTAAGCCCCTAATGTCCTCGGGCACAAGTTTCCAAATCTTTAAAAACAAGGACATCAAAATACCTGCGGGCCTTCTACATTCGACTGTCGTGAGAGGCCAAGTGAACCAACAGATACAAAAGTAATCTGTTAACCGTAAAGGTAAGTTGTGCAAAGGTGATGAAGTTTATATAGGTAAGTTCTAAGTAAAGAAGTGTTCTTGGAAGGGGGATGGTGGCAGCAAGGAGGGCACTTCAAGGAGGGAACAATTATGAATAAAAATAAAATGGCCTCCAAAAGCCCAGATTTCTCCTCTGTCCCTTGAAACACGTAATCCACCTCTTGGCTTGCAAAGACGTCCAACCTACCGAGAAAGACCGCTGATACGGTTCTAACCAAAACTGAAAGCGTGTGCCAGGCTCTGAGAAAATAAGGTGCTGAAGAAAATGTGCAAACTCTTTTCTGACAAGCGTCGCCCCTCATGAATTCCCCACTTAACACAGACGGCACCACCATCCTCATGAGGCCCTAGGTTTGAAGTGCCTGCCATTTACCTATCACATTCAGTTCCTTTTATTTAATAACCCTAGGACTGGCCCACACACGGCCGAGGTCATTACTATCTTACCAACTTTTTAAAAACTCAACTTCGTATCATTACAAATCCTTGAAGAAAAGAGGGTTTTTCAGTACACCCGCTTTTGGGTTTTGGGATAATAGGTAAAGTATTTGGGGAAAAAAATTTTAGCCTACCTCGTAACATATTTAAAAATAAATCCCAACAGATTAAAGAATAATTTTTTAATGAAGCTATAAAACAAGAAGAAAATATAGGTAAATATTTAACTGATCTTGGAAGGGGCTGGCATATTCTTCATCATTAAAGCCATGAAAGAAAAAACATTTGACCGTGTAAAAATTATACATTTATATATGTCATAAAAGTCCCACAAAATTAAAAGACTGAAGATAAATTGGGGAAAGGATATAAAACATATAAGAAAAGGGGTAATAGTATTATTACATATATAATATACAAAGAGGTGTTAGAAATGAAGAAAATGGTTTAAAAATATCAGATAACATGAGTTAAGGACATGAACAGGAAATTCCAAAAATAAAAAATAAAGACAGAGAAATAAAAATAACTGAACATGTTAAAAATGCAGATCACCAGTAATTTAAAAAAAAAGAGAGAAAAAGAAAAAAAATAATGGAGAAATACCATTTTTCCCTACCGAATAGGCAAAGAACTAAAAGTATACTCCTCAGTCCAGACGATGGCACAGGGCAGCAGGAGGTCTCACTTGCCCCTGCTGGTAGCTAAACAGGTCAGGCATTTCTGAAGGGAAATTTGGCAATATATCAAAAACTGTATCAAGGCTCATATCCTCCAAACAGGAATTCCATTTTTAAGAATTTTTACTAGAGGAATTATCAGTGATATTTGCAATGACCTCTGTACAAGAATGTTCACCACAGCTGATGTTCATGTAACAGCTAAAATATTAAGAGAAAAAAATCTCAATGTCTAACACAAGAAGGAAGGGTTAAATAAGCTATGGTGCCTTCACGTAACTGAGTGTTATGAATCTGTTTTCAAGCAAAGTATCATAATATTTAACGATAAACCCTCACAATATTAGTGAAAATGCAAGATTCAAAACTATACGGGGTATCATCCAAACACGGGGGGAAGAGGCCAACAGTAATACACATTATATACATTTGGCTCTGTGAGAAAATCATGGACGGTAGTCTCAACTTGAACCTTGAGAGCCTTTGTGGTTTTTTGTTTGGTTTTTGTAATTGTTTGTAATTTGTAATTGTTTGATTTGGGTCTCTGCTGACTCTGAAACGGCATGGATAAAAGAAAGACTTTCAAAATCAATATTTCAAATTAAAAAACTCTTAGCTTTATTTCTTCTCACCTAAAAAATCCCTATCAAGCCATTAAAGGGAGAGAAAAAAAAAAAAAGGAGAAAAAGGCAAAGACAATCCAGGAATCATTCCTCTGCAATAAAGTCCAAGACAAAAGGCTCAGTAGGCCCCTGGGTGGTCCTCCAGAGGACACAGGACACAACAGAAGCACCCACGGACACTTCCGGTGAGCAAGTGTGTCTGTACCCTGCCTGTGTTCCCACCATGCTAAGGGCACTGCATGGTCTTACTCCCCCAGATCTCAGCCTAAAGACCACCTGGCCCCTTATTGCATCCTCTCCAGGATTCCAGCCTTCCAGAAGCCAACTTAAATTTTCCTCAAATTAAAAAACAACCTGGAGATATCAATGAGTCCCCCAAACAATGAGCAAGTGTGTATGTACCAAAAGGAAAAGGGCTGCAGAGAACAAAAAGTGTTTTACAGAAAGACACAGAAAAGAGTGAAGCATCTCAACCATTTTGTGAACTAATAATACAAAGAGAGCTTTATTTCTCACATATTTCATAAACACTGGAGAGACAGAGTGAAAGACATCATGCAGCTTGCAGTTGCAGGGGAAAGAGGCTGGGCACCAGTCCAAATCTTCCCCTGATTTTACCTCTGAAACATAAATGCACAGAAAAGAGGCAATGTAACAAAGCACTCAAACGACAGAATTTTTATCTATAGGTCGTGAGACTATGCAACACGTTTATTTTCTTCTTTTTAGCTCTTCTACTTTTGAATTTTCCTGAAGTTAGTCCATCTTACTTTTATAATGAGAAAAGACTCTTATGACAGTACTTAAAACTGTAATTAGTTAAATGAAATACTACCTTTGTTATATCAGTTTCCTGCTCAGAATCTACAATGGCTTCTTAGGAGCTAGTAGCTACCCAATCAAATTCACACTATTTCCAGTATTTTCTATCAGACTTGATGATATCAAGACACCTAAGCATGATGTAAAAGCTCTCCCCACCCCCCTTCCCGGCCCATTGACCTACCTGCCTCCTGACCTCTAGCCAAGTTACTCTGCTGCATGTGTCCATGTCCTAGAAAGAGCAGATTGCTCCCCCATGCACTGGGTTCCTTTAGGTGCACACGCCTCTTGTCGCTTAGCTTGAAATTCCTCTTCTGTGTCTCCTCCCCACGTCCCACTCACAGTGGCTCTGCTGGAAGTTCCTCCTCTCCTCTAGGGGCCAGTCTCTCCCATAACTAACGGCCTGCTACAGGTGCCTGGGGCTCACATCCAGTACAGATCGCTTTCATCCTCCCCTCCCCGGCCAGACTCTGAGTTCTGAGGCAGGCACTCATCTTTGCTCTCCCCGCACCCGACTCAATGGCTAGTTCAAAAGGGCACTGAATACATGTTGTGAAATTGAGTTTTCCTCTTAACCGTTCTATGTCTTCACAATCTCCAGTACAGCAGGCATCTGCCTCAACACCACTGGCCACTTCAAACCCAACAACCCTACCTGCCACTCTTTCTACCTGGAACTGCAGCCACCCTCATGCCCCATAACCTTCCTCCTTCCTCATGACCTCGCCACTCCTTCACAGGGGGCTTCCACCCCTTTGACCCCACTCTGCTGACCTCCGTATGCCCTTCCATCCTCATCTTCTCTGCGGGACCTTTCTAAACTTGCAGTCAGGGCTTCCCTGGTGGCACAGTGGTTGAGAGTCTGCCTGCCGATGCAGGGGACGCGGGTTCGTGCCCCGGTCCGGGAAGATCCCACATGCCGCGGAGTGGCTGGGCCCGTGAGCCATGGCCGCTGAGCCTGTGCATCCGGAGCCTGTGCTCCGCAAGGGGAGAAGCCACAACGGTGAGAGGCCCGCGTACCACCAAAAAATTAAAAATAAAAAATAAACTTGTAGTCATTTGGACCCTGTTTGCCCAGTGTTACGAAGTACTATGGTAATTATTGCTCATAGCCCCCCCCCCATTAGTCTATAATCTCCCTAAAGAAAGAAAACATGACACATTACTTGGAATTCCATTTCTCCCGAGTCCCTAAGTGCTCCACACAAAGAAAGAGTTCCACCCCAATGACTAACGTTCCTTTGCTCCAAGAAAAGTCCAATCCAGCTGAGATGCAATCATTTTACTAATGCAGCCCGTATACAGCACTGAGTTTTTTCAAAGGGTCCAAATGCTGCTGGAGACCTTCCTCCTGTCAGTAAGGGCAGAGGGAAAACAAGGGAAGGGACCCCTTTTCTAGCCATTACATCCTTATCAATCCCATCAGAGGCCCACTATGAACCCCTGATATGAGGAGATGATGAGGTAGTAACAAAAACTGGCGTTAGCATCGCCAGGTCTGTGGCCCCTGCCTGGTGACAGCGTGCAGAGCTGGGGCACCTGCCCCCTTCACCTGACGCTTACAGGCCTGCCTTTTCTTTAAAGCATTCTCTCATGGACGATCACAAGTGAAAGCAGTGTTTGAAAACACGGTTTCAGGGCTTACGAAAGTGTTGTATTGTCAGACTGGCTGGGAAGTCGGACTGAACAATGATGGGGAGACGTCCCTGAGCGGACAGAGCCCTCCTTGGCTAAACCCTCGAAGGAGAAAAACAAGGATGTGAGACTAAAGGATGAAAACCTCCATCAATTGGGAGATGTACCTTTGACAACAGTCAAGCAGACCCGTGTTCTGGCGGCAGTCTGTCGCATCCTGCGGCAACGTTCCTAACCTCGTGATTTTTTTCCCTTTTATTAGGATTTTTTAAGTAAAAAGAAAAGTGAGAGCGTTTTCAGTAAAAAATAAGAAATACAGTCATATAAAAAAAAAAACCTGTAACTGTCTCTTCACGTTCCCTCTATTACAACCATATTTCCATGTGTCCTTGAATCAACAGAACACAGAAAGAAATAAATCTTACCAAATTCTAGTCTACGAATTCTAAAAAAGATATACTTCAATCTCAACACAAATAGCTCTTAATCCTGAAAAGGACGGTCTCCTTCTTGATCACCCTGACGTTCCTACTAAACCAGTGCAAAAGGAATCTTGAAATGCTCTAGATGAATATTTACTATTCCACATCTCCTTCTACCCTGGAAAGAGCTACACTTTGACTTTGAAGAAATTTAGCAATTTCTTCTCAAAAACTGAAAGGCGGCACAGAAAGGCAGGAGAAGCACAGAACTTAAGGTCTGCACATCTGGGGAGGGAGGGGGGGACTCAGCTCTACAACTTGCCAGGCATCTACCTTAGAGAAATAATCAGTGTCTTTATCGACAAGGCAAGCTAATAATGCTGATACTCCACATACTCTTTACATTTTTGGAAAGACAAAATAAGAAATTGCTCGTGCCCTATGAAAGAGTAATTCAAGTAGAAAAGCAGTGTAATAGTTATCAGTGAAAGAAAAACTGGTGCTAATAGCACAACATTAAAATCTGTAACATAGGTTCTTTGGGGAGTTGAAATTTGTCTCCACTACTACTAAATTTTATTACTGAGCTTCTTGAAAAGTCAGTGGGACTCCCCTGGTGGCACAGAGGTTAAGGATCCGCCTGCCAATGCAGGGGTCACGGGTTCGAACCCTGGTCCGGGAAGACCCCACATGCTGCAGAGCAACTAAGCCCATGCGCCACAACTACCGAGCCCTTGCGCCACAACTACTGAGCCCATGCGCCTAGAGCCCATGCTCCCCAACAAGAGAATGAGAAGCCCACACACCGCAAGGAAGAGTAGCCCCCGCTCACCGCAACTAGAGGAAGCCCGCCTGCAGCAACAAAGACCCAACGCAGCCAAAAATAAATAATTTTTAAAAATAAAGTCAGCAACTTTAAGAATTTGAAAGCACATCTGAATTAAATCTGAATGTGTTAGGAGTGTTTATGCAGTGGATTCTCTGAATGGTGGTGAAAGGGTCTGGATGACCAGTTGAGGACCTCTCTAGTCTTTATTTCTTTTACTCCCCAGATGTGAGGAGTATATAGACCCAACACCAGCTCTTCAGGCCAAGGGCCCCATCATCCCAGTAGGTCAGCCCTGTCGTCTGGGTGACAGCCTCCCTCTTCGTCACCTGGAAAGTTGAGCCAATCCAGGTCTCTGGGGCTTCCGAACACAGCCACACTGAGCTAAAAATATATGCAAATGCACTGTCTCAGGACGATGAAAGTCACGTGGGATTGACGGTTTCACCAACATCACGTCCACAGAAAAGTTCCGTACAAGCCTCCTAAGCCTGTGGCATCCTCCAGTTGCACCAGAGCAGCAGACAGGTCCGTACAGAAGCTATGAAACAGGCCTTATTGCACATGTATGGCTTCAACCACACCTGGACTTCAGGAAGGGGAGTGTTTCTGAAACACATCTTGGGAAACACCTCCCTCGTAAGTAAGGATTATATATCCCAGGCACTGTCAGTGCTTATCTACGAGACAGTGTAATAGTAAGCAAAATGTTCTGTTAACAGTAACAGAAGTGCTGCAATTCTCGTTACGGAGTGGCAAGTCAACTCACCTTCAATGCTGTGTTCAGATGACAGGCAGGCAGCTGAAGCCAGAGTTTAGGCTTCTCCAATTAATCCAATAACCTCCATGCCACTTACCCTTGGAATTGGCATTAGGAAAGCCCCATGTGCCCCCAAATCATATAAATTCCATAGTTTCCTGTTCATTAGGTCCAGGTTGGCCTACGCCGGTATGTCATATTTTGACATGTAGCCACAAGGGACATACAATCACAATTAAGGGGAGACGTTAGCTAAAATTGGCAGGCCCCGCTCGAATGAACAATTTATGCCCACACAGGGGTAAAAACGTATATAGCTTTTCCAAGTGATGAATACTAAACTGTGAGAAACACAAAGAGATATAATTCATTTATCAAGTTTGCATAAGATATCTTTGCACTTCCAACCAAACACACAGAAGGGGTGTTCGCATCACAGCAAGGACACAGGATGTTATTACAGGTAATTGCATACAGACTGCCAATACTACAATCATCACAATGTTTACGGAATAAACCTGCAATGTTAATAAAATCCTCTTCTTCTTCTCCCGCCTTTAACCCTCCCCTGGTTTCCCTGTGCATTTAGAATAAATGTCATACTCATCATTGCTTGCAAAGCTCCAGCCCGTGCTCACTCCTGGATCCCATCTCATGCCACCCCCTCCCCATTCCACAACCTCTCCAGGCCCCTGGCCCAGCCCTACCGTGGCTCACCCTGGACCTGGCTGGCGGGCCTTCTTTGCTTGTTCTTTGTCCTGTGGTGAGCAAAGAGAAAGGCCCCTGTCCTTGTTGCTGCCCTTGTTTGAAAAGCTTTTCCCCACACCTTTGTGCTGTTAACTTCTCAGATCTCGGGTCAAATGTCACCTCACAAGTAGGGCTTCCCCGGCCACCCTAATGAGCAATGCCCTACACCTGCAATCACTACCGTGTCCCCTATCGCCCGTTTTACTTTCTGTGTAGTATAAATCGATTTCAAGCTGAAATTTGCTGTCTGTTGATTATCTAGCCCACTAAAGTGGAAGCTCCAAGAGGAGAGCTGCTTGCTCTCCGTGCAGTTTCTAAAACAGTGCCTGGCGCGCAGCAGGTTCAAAATAGGTGTTTGTTACATAAATAAATGCTGTGCTAGAAGATGGATAAAGCAAGTTACAGCCATGACGATCCACACCCTTGAAGCTATCTGATGATGAAGAAACAAATGGCCCAAGAACAAAAAATATTTTCTAAAAATTTAGCAGTTGCATACTAAATTGTGATTAAACCATCAAAGTGAGCTGAATGTATCCAACTTGAACAAATTATTTAATAAAAATAAGGACGGTCGTACAGAAATGTGAGTGGCCTGGGCTGGGAAGGTGTTCTGAGGTTTGATGATAAAGAACCTGGTGAACTTTCTAACACAGTGTTCTGGACTGAATATTTGTGTCTCCCCCCAGATTTGTGCTTTGAAGTCCAGAACCTCCTTTGATGTGATGTATTTGGAGGCGGAGGCCTTGGGAAGGTAATCAGGTTTAGGTGAGGTCATGAGGGTAGGGCCCCCCGATGGGATGAGTGTCCTGATAAGAGGAGGAAGAGAAACCAACATCTCTCTCCCTCTCTCTGCTGCATGAGGACACAGCCAGAGGCAGGCTTCTGCATACCAGGAAGAGGGCTTGTATCAGAAACCAAATCTGCTGACACCTTCATCTTGGACTTCCAGCCTCCAGAACTGTGGGAAATGAATGTCTGTTGCTTAAGCCACCCGGACTCTGGTGTATTTGTCATAACAGCCTGAGCTAACACACGTGGTGTCTGGTATGGTACCTACGGCCTGGAACATCAGAGTTGCTCAATAAATATCACTGAATTTTGAAATATTTAAACTAAGAAAACCCTGAAATGTTACTGTAGCCTTCTCAGCGAAGTTTGAAGGACCACTTCTCTATAATCCCTACTGATCTTTCTAGCATAAATATGGGATGGGCAGATATTGAAATTAAGCAGGAGAAAAATCATCTAGGAACGTAGGGATGACAAAACCCAAAAGAGTTTTTTTTTTTTAAGTAGGGAGGACTTTTTTTCTTTAGCCTCACAAATTTCAAAGAGGCTTCGCACATGCAAACAGACTCCAGCTTTTTCACGTTCCTCGTGCCCAGAAACTGGGACATTAGGATGCCAGGAACCCTTTCAAAATCTAAACCATGCGATAAGTGCAGGAGAAGCTCTC